TGAACAGCAGCTACCTCAGTGGAAAGAACATGAACAGTATTTATGTGTTCCTGAAATAATGATGATTAATTCATGGCTTCAAGTGTTCAATTATGGGACATTATCAGAAAGGGAGGAAATGTGAAATGGCTTGTCTCATTCATCAAATTAAACTACCTTGTTTTGGATCAGGCTGTAATTAGATACTGAGATGTCTTCAACCTGTTAGATTAGTTAAACCATGTTTACAAGTCAGGAAAAGGAGCTGAGGGTTTACTGTCACACAGGAAGCACAGTGACGCAACAGACTCTAACATAAGATTTGTTTGGTTTAGTGAATAATTTCATTTTAAATGGGATTTTTTTTTTTCTAGAATCAATGCTAAAAAAAAATCTGAGGACTGTATGTTTTAAAACTTAATCTGGGATTTATCAGTGCTTATTTGGAACATGAAAGTGGCTGAATTACAGAATGTAAAAAAACAAAAAAGTTATTTAGTGCAGAAAGCCAGATTCACTGAAGCATAGATTACTTGTCAATGATCAGTTGTGATGATATTAAACCAGGAGTGGAGGCAGGGAACAGGTGAGAGACAGAAACAGTCAGAGGTCACACAGTGGAGCAGAAGGAAGACAGAAGTTCAAATAGCTTTAAAGGTATAGACATCTGTATACTGTAAACTGCCGTAGCTTACATTTACTGTGAACTGTGTCTGTGTAGATCTCATATAATCTCCAACTTGTTTGGTCAAAAGGACAAAAATCAGTGTGAAAACCAATGTTTGGCTTTTATAACGTTTGATAAAACCTGGAAACAATGAGCCTTATGCGACAGCAAACATCTCACCCAATTCTGTTCACCTGCTCGTCAGTTCTCTGTGACTTTGGTCCGGACTTATGAGAAAAAAGAAAACAGACTTTTCATTCTGAACAGTTCCTCTCAGTCAGTGGGGACGAACCGGGCCCATTGTTGTTGCTGGTCCTTGTAAAGGTAATGCTGACCGTGTTTCTTTTTTTCCTGACGCTATTGTTGTGGGAACAGCTCCGCTGGGGTTAGGGTTAAGGTTCTGAGGACACATGATTGGACCAAACTGCATCTAACTTCTCTGTTTCTGGAACATGCATCTGTCTCTTTCACCTCAGGCTTCACACTCCACTACTTTAGACCAAACACCTGCAAAACTAATTCCCATCAGCCTCAGTTGTACTTACTTTAATGTCAATTGACAAATTTTAGCATACTGATGCACAACAAGGTGAGCATAGCCACAGTTATACTTGCATTTACAATATGACTCCTCAGCTGGACCAGTACTTTTTATGGTTGCACATGTCCTGCACATCTGCCTACATTTTACCGTCAGCGCTGTCCACAGTCTTTAACTGTCTGGGCCAGATGTGAAAATGCTCCCCAGCTGGACACTTCCTTCTGCAATACAATTACATTTGACCTTCAGACTGCTCTGTGTATAAAACACCCCTCACATATCAATGAAACCTCAAAACCCCCCAGCAGTTTAACTCATGTTCGAATAGACACATATACATTTACTCTGTGTCCTTTATTCACTCCAGAAATACATTTCTTGCCTTTAAAAAAGTAACTGGCAAACTTCTCCAGTTCAGAGTTGTAAAGTGCTTCAGGCTGATGAACATACTTTAAACAGATGCAGACACATTAGTGAAATGACAAAGTAGATCACAGCCAAACACATAAAGACAAACAGCAAAGAAATAAGAGAAAGCAACAAGGAAAAAATGAGATAATGGCAAAGATTAGAGATTAACTTCCTTCCAGAAAAGTCATTATAGGTGATTTAAAAGTCAGTCTGGCCAACAGCAAGATGAAATATTAAATGTTACATAAGCATGACTCTCAGTGCACTATGATTCACATCCTACTGCAGTTTCTTCACAAAAGGTGCTTAATGAAGGATATTATGTCCTGTATGTGTCAAGGAAGCATCAGCAGCAGCAGCAGACATCTGACTCTGCAGTCAGACTGACTGATGTCCAGCAAAAGGAAGCAGAGCATCACTGCAGGAAAGCGCCTGCGCATTTAGATGCTGTGCACATGTAGTTGTGCACTCCCCTGCTGAAAAAAGAACAGCGGCTTTTATTGTGAAATGAAGGACAGAAACACAGCTCTTCTGCTTTAGAGCTTCTGCACTGTCGCCTTGCTTTAGGACAGAACAGTTGCAATCCTGCCTACTTGTCAACATGTTGAGCTACTCAAGGTTTGATCGTGTGTCAGTGTTTTTATTTGAGCACTGTAATCCAGTAATTATCATCTGGCCGCTGCTGGTTGGACACTGCCATTAGTGGCTTCAGGTCATGTCCAGTTTACCTAAGATTAGCTTCATTCACCCACCTCTGGTTCCTTCTGTAGCAGGAACAGTCATACCCAACTCTCCATGCACGGTCTCACCTAGACTCTGTGTTTATCCCTGACTTTTTTGGCCTTTTCAGCACTAATGTCACTGCATATAAACAGTGCATGCTCCTGAGTGTCGTCCAATTGTCTATGGAATTTGTTGGCTCTGTGGGATGTGTTTAATGTGTTTGTTTTATGCTCCTTCCTGGCTGCCAGAGACTCTTTAGCAGTTTCAGCTAGTCTTCAGATCTGATCCAAGCTTTCTTTGCAGAAAATAATGAAATGCATGAACCTGTAACATGTCCTTGGATCTCCTGCTAGGTGAACTCTAAACCTAATGACTGACAGTGACAACATCTATGGGCTTGTTTCTCCACAGATGAGAGCAGCGATGAAACCCTGAGTGAGGAGATGAGACTTGACACATATGGGCCAGTCTGTTCAGTTTCTGTTTGGGGCTCAGAGCTTGTCTTTGGGAGTCGTCTGGGGACATACAGCTGCAAACAGCAAGTGTCCAGCTATGGCAAAACAAATACACACCCTGTACAGAGGAATGCTGTTTAAAAGATATAGCACAAACAGAGAGAAGTAGGGGTCTACTACGTCAAAGGTTGACGGATGTCTGTCGACGACCCATCTGGCGGTTCTCCTCACTTCACCTTGACTTGCAGCTGCACATTCGGTGCTTGAGCCCAACATGCTGCTGCTTGAGTCGTTAATGCCTCACATCCTGAATCCACGTTAGTGATGCCCCAAACACTTTTCTTGTAAAAAACAAACAAACAAAAACATTCACTGTTACTCTTCAAAATGCATCATGTGCATCCCTGCAACCGCTCTGCTTCATCTGAGTGCAGCTGTTTGGAACAACTATAAACAGTTTTGACTTTCAGCGTTCATGTCTTACAAACTAGTTCTGATTGAGCATAACCAGGCTACCTACATTTACTTTGACTTTTGTATAAATAACAGTGATATGTTGCTGCACCTGTCGGGCTGATACAAAATAATGACAACATCTAGGCGTTATTATAAATGAACCACTCTCTATAAAGTAAAGTGGTCATTATATGGAGAGAATAAGGGGATTTGGGGAAGGTGGTTGGATTTACATGTGATGGACACAATAAACTCAGTGTTTTCCTGTCTTCTGCCACCAGTCAGTGCAGGTTTGTGTCACCAGGTGGTTCTAGTTGTGTAAACTTAAACAGACATAACCACAGGGTGGCAGAGCCAAAAGTATTATGAATCATCACAACGACAGGTGACTTTTGTCTAAACCCTGATAAATGGAGAATGGCCATTTTTCTCCAGTTTAGTCTGGTCTTCTCTCTGTATTGTTTGCTCCTATCGACCTTGTAAATATATAGCGTCTTACCTCACACAAATGTATATTGTGTAACTGAATTATTCTTTCAGGCTCACAATATTGCCTTGCAATATCCTCCAGGAACAAACGTAGACTAATAATTATGTGCAACCTAATCCCTGTATTAGCAGGTTACAGTTCCCGCCCACTCTCTGTGAACAGGTGCTGCTGTCTTGGTGTTTGTGGTCTGTTGAAAAACCCACCATCTGTCATCGACTGACCTCTGCAAGGGAAAAGGCACCTCCAACACACGCTGCTGCTCTGGGGCTGCTGTCAACATGCACTGGTTATGTTTGGGACTGATTATATAAGGTGCCTGCAAGGGCACGCAGCACAAGCACCACAGGCACCACAGGCAGCGGCAGATCATTCATTCTTGCACTTTCAGGAAGTTGTCACAGCAGACTTAGACTTTGTGGAAAAATAAATATGTAATATAGCATGCAAATATAATAAAATGTAGCATCTACAACAGGTCCAGAGAAGATGAAACCTTTCTGAATATCCAGAGGAACTGCAGAGTGTCCACACAGTGGACTTTAGCTCCTCATCAGGCAAATGGCTGACACAGCGAAGAGCAAAGTATAGTCAGCAATTTGGTCACATCATGTGCTTGTACAGTAAAAAGCATCTTAGTTGTTTTAGATTTGTTTAAAAGAAGAATAATCCTGAAAACAAAATGTAATATACACTGACTGCTGGAGGTTTACATTTATATAATGTTGCTGGTCATGAAATCTGCTAAATTACTTTCTTAACTGAGAAAGGGTTTGTTTTAATTGTTTATGAATTCAATGGACCATGACAATAATTTTATTTATTTTTTAAGTTACCTGGTGACACTTTAATCCCCTAAAAATGACCATTTTTACACTATGGATGCTCTAAACCTGCAAAATACTCAGGCCAGTTTTTATACTTGTAGTAGTTGTGAAACATGATTTGAGGTTGTGTTTCACTTTGAACATATTTATGTGGATTATAGTGTGTTTGAGAGTATGTGTGAAGTTTCATTTTGATCCTAGAAACACTGTGGTTGTTTCACTAAAACAAATCTTTTATTCAACAGTATCACAAAAATTGTTGAATTGTCTAATCTAGTTTAATGCCTTTAAATTCATAACATCTTGCACAGCATTTTGATATATTTATACAGGGGCATATCATATCTGTCATAAAGAAGTAAAAGGCTGAGGAGGATTTAATTAGGATCCTTTGGAGTGACTCTGCCAAACCTGCCTGCAAAGCTATCGCTGCCTGCAGGCTGTGTCCGCAGGTGAAATCAGTGCGCAGCTCTGCGCCTCTGCATTTTCAGGGAGGCGCGCATCTTGTTTGGCTCATTCGAGCCCGGGCTCTTCTCCGTGCGTAATGCGGCACCGGACACGAGAGAGGCACCCGAGAACCTTCGCAGTGGCGAACTGCTAACCAACAGCTCAGTTCATGAATTGCTGCCAGTTGCGGGAATTCGATAAGGAAACAGTTTCTTATTGTCGATGACTGATTTAACTTTTGTGCGTACTTTCCAAAGTGAAAAGATGTTACTACTCAATAGGATCACCTCTGGATGCTCCTGGCTGACACGGATGGCCACTTTACTCCACCTGGTTCCGTTCCTTCAGCTGGCGGGGTGGGACACGGTGAGTCCACGCCAAACACTCAGGTTAACCTCGTGGATCCCCGGGATCGTGTGTAGGCGCCCTGTTTTATATATTTATTTATTGCTTAGCCCTGCTTGTCCAGTATGCAAGTATCATAACACATTATTTTGTTCAAGCGCCGACAAACCAGATTAGTGAAAAGATACTGGTGGATGGTCAAATTAAATATCTATATTTCTATATATTTACACTAAAGTATGCTAGAGTTTTCAAATCTTGCTGTTTAATGGTCATGGCTGCTTTTAGCACTATATCTTTATTGGAGTGTTTGTTCACTTGTTCGTTTGTTTGTTTGTTTGTTTGTTTGTTTATGCACTGTTATAATCCAGGTTGCTCCCATTGACCAAATGCTTATGTATTTTACACATTTCGCTGGAAAACCAAATAATGCGCATTTAAAAATGATTTGTACTGGAGCTCACACACCTTTGAGATAGGAGCAGTTTGCTGCCGATATCGACCTGCTGCCCTCCTGCTTGTCAGGCGGGTTGAATTAGATTACATGATGGATGATTAATGTGTCCTGAGTGTTGTGGAACAGACCAGTTGGAATTAACACAACATTTAATCATAGATGCTCCATTTTAACCTCATTATTCAGACTGATGGGCAGTGGTTGTAAAACTCCAGACTTATCACCTGGACTTTTGCCTTCTGCCTTGTTTTCGTGCCCTTATAAGAAAAATCGTAACATTTGATGAGTAAAACATGAATCTGAGGAAAACTTTCAACAATCAGCAGGAGCAAATAATGGTAAAACACAAATACTGTATATCCTTCTAATTAAATATCCAGTAAATAAAAAGAAGAGCCCCAGTGTGGTCTCCTGTGACTCCATTAACACTGGACACTCACTGACAGCAGCAAAGAAAAAGCATTAATATTTCCTTTTTCTTCTGCACATATACTGGTTTGAACTTCACATCATGCAGATAATTCAGTGTGAACTATATTCCTATTTCATTCCCTTTTGAACTTGGATTTGATGCAGTCATGCAGCTATGTGCTCACCTGAGGTTTCACCCAGAGTAAATCATGATGCAGGATTTGGATCTGTGACATGTCTTTCCTGATGCTGAAGATGAAGATGTTGATGATCCTCTATGAGCTGCTTGTTCCACGGAGTCTGCTGAAGGTGTTCACTCTCCCTTCTCTGCCTTTTCGTCCCCTTGCAGCAGGATGGACATGTCTCATGTCAGTTATTGACCTGCTTTATCACTGTAACTGAATTTGGAGTGGCAGCAGTGTCTCACTGCACACACACCTACATTTTCTTAATAATTAGGCTAATACAGTATATAATTAGATGAATGGGTCCACAGGGATACACACAGTGAGTTTTGCTGAATGACGTGTGAATATAAACATAACTCAGCAGGGCAATGCATGTAAATAACATTAAAGTATGAAAAGGAAATGTATACATTAGTGTTGTACTATTATATACTATGTAATATTGCTGATGCATTTTATGGTACTGTATCTGTTGGGTAGTTGTTTAATAATGCATCATAATTTTAGGCATATTATATTATTTGGAATAATAGTGGAATAAAAAAGTATGCTTTCCTCTAATATATAGTGTAGTAGCAGACTGCAAATTAAAAATACTTAAGTGCTGTTCCTGTGTAAATGTAAATAGTTACATTCCACCAGTTGAAGAACTAACTGAGAGCAGATTTTAAAAGTTTCAGGAAAGGACACACATTTATCTTTGGACTCCCAACAGAAGCCACTGTATTGCCATGAGATGTTACAGAGGTTTTATATTTTAAAACCCTCTTGATTTGGGCATCAGATTTTTTCAGGATTTTTCTGACTAGAGGAATCCTCAAACTGAATGAACCAGAAGTACTGTATATTATTACACTTTCTTCTACCCGAGCAGCACTCTGTGCAGACATTTTCTGATAGACTATTGTATATCTTCTTGGGCAAAGTGCAAACCCAAAGGGAACAGAGCCTGGTTTCCTTATTCCCTGTGTGCTGTCAGGCTGAAGGCCTTTACTTCACATTTATCCGTATTTATTGACCGGCACCTGTAGAAAATTATGGTTAACAGAGAAGAGGTCTGACACATTTAGTATACCTGTGTATTATCAGGGTAAAACTGATGCTACGATATCTGCCAGTAGAACATCATTTGAAAACATTACAGGATCAGTAATACACACACACACCGTCTAATGGTAAAACCTGGTGAATACTTGTCCCTTAAACTGAAATGTTGGCTGCAAATGATGGCGGCTTGATAAAGGGCGGCTGGAGGCGACTGGCGCCCTGCAATAATGACCTGGTTAAAGAAAGTGAATTTAAATGACACTGCTGCCATGTAAACGGTTGTCATTTAGGATGGAGGATTGCAAAAATTAAGGTGCATGCTCACATGGCACTCCAGCCCATACTCACACAGTCTGATGTTACTGTTGTGTGTCTACAAAGTCAGGCAAACATCTGCAATCTCTGATGAGCTCCACCAGATTCTTTGCACATCACTAGAGTGTAAAATTAGATGTGGTGCTGCTGTGTTGTACTACTATCTTGCTTGTATAAAGAAGGTTTGTTACGTAAACCTGCAGGGCGGATATGACTGTGCTGTCTTGTGTCTCAGTGAGGCTGTGCCGTCTGGTTGAAGTTTTCAGCTCCACACGGTCATCTGTTGCTGCTGTAGGTATAAGCTGTCAGTGATGAAGGACTTCACAGGCCACCCACTTTAAAGAAATGATGTAAATGTTTAGCCTTCTCACAATAAATCATCCTCATATCAGGTTATGTGTTTGGTGTACACTGTGGATTTATCAGATCACCTCTAGAACAGAAAATACGTATTTATTGTCATGTATCAGTATTTGATAAGAGGAGCGTCTGTTATCATTTATGCTATTCTACAGTCTCATCCAAGTATATTATCCAGTGTTATGTCAGGAACAGATAGTTGATTTTTAATAAAGCCTGGATTTACTGTATAAGGCAGTAGAGCTCAACCTGAGTGTTGTAACCTGCAATACAATTATATCTATTGCAGCGTGTTCTTTCATGAAGAATAATCGGAATCGAATATCAATTTTCAAACATTTATTATCATAACTAAACAGACCATCAAATAAAGCAATTTTCAGAGCTCTGGGTTCCATCTCTATCTGAAGCCCTGACCTCAACAGCAAAACCGTTCAACTCGTCTTCAGGACGAGAAGGAACCCCGTCCTCCTCCATTCAGTTGATTTTATACAATTTCAAATGTGCCCTTGTAGGCTGGTCTGGTCCTCTCGTGCTGTTCTATTGGTCCATCTATCCATCCGTCCTCCTCCTGCGTCCTTTCTGCTCCAATGGGAAAAGCAGCTTCCTAAAGATGGAGGAAATTCTACTGAATTCCTCCACTCACTTCAGTCTTTGTTACACTATATGTGACATGGCTTCCC